CGGCCGGAGCTATCTCCACGATCTTTCACACACGCTTTTAAACCACTATCAAGTCAAATTGCATGGTCAAAAGCGCTTCGTTTGCTACAAATAACGCTCAAACATCAAGATCTCTTGCTTTACCGTATTTCTAACGATAAAAACTTCATCCCAAAATATCTCCATAACGTTCTTACAGATTCCGCCTTAACTTCAAGAACATCGAGGCGACCGTATTGTGAGTTTTGGAGAAAAAAGCTCCCGGGAACGATTTTGTAAGAACAGTTCCCAGTGCCGAGAAATTTTGCTGGAAGTAAAATAGGTAATGGCGTCATTTCGTTGCTTTGACAACTCCGATGTCATTGCAACCCTGATCATGACAAATTTTCATCTTTATCTAATACAACTGTGGTGACAATTTTTCCAAATGTTTTTTTATGGCGACGTAGTTTAAGCTCGAACTTGGGACCTTCATATGCCAGTACGGCCCATGTTGTTTCGTAGAAATTTGGGCAACTTTTGGGAAAGTGGTTTACCGCATCCCCTTATTTGTTATTTCCTGAATCAGTAACCTGGAAAGTATGAACCATAAATAATTGCTGACAAAATGAAAAAGTTTGCAAAAGAGTTGGCAGATTCGTCCATTCTGAAAAGTAAAGCAAATGTAGAACGCAAGCAATATTTCCAAGAGAGCTTTCAGTTATCGCGGAGAATTCAACTGTTTCCGTGGCATAAACTTGAGTATACCTAAATATAGAGCGAAACCTGGAGCATGGCTTCGAGTTAGGATTCGAACCAGGGCTTCGAACGAGGGCTTCTTTTGCTTATTACTAGAGACAAATTCTAAGGAAAGTGCTGCGAATAGAGTCCCTGAGAGGTACTAAATCATAACGTATATGAAGGTTATAAATTGGCTTAGCAACATTTATATTTCAACCAGTAAATCTATCGAGTTTTTGGCGATGACCCGGCTCAGTGGAGCCTTAATAAAGCGAACACGTTTTTCTAATCCCTTGGCCCTTCGTTGTATCGATGTTCCACTGTTATCTTCATTGATGCCCAGGTATTGTTTGGTCGCAAAGAACTTCTGTCTTTCTTTGTCATAGCTGGTCACTGCACACGAACTGTGCATCCAAGAAAAGACGTTTTTCGAGCTCAATTTCTTTACTGCCTAGTTATGACTTGAAAAAGATCCTGACAGATTTCTTTGCCCAAGTGTTAAACATTAAAGAGTTTAAATGTGGAGAAGATCCTCGCTGTTAAAGACGCAACTTATGCAGTTGCGGAAAGAAAGCCTGACAAAAACGAAAAATTCAGGCTTGCCGCGCAGGATTTAAACCCTGACCTCTGCGATACCGGTGCAGTGCTCTAACCAATACGTATTATATTGCTATTGGACGATATCCAATATCTCACGTATAACTTGTATACTTACTTTACCTTCCGCACATTTACAGTGTACGTATTCGGAACACTTTCAGTAAAATACGGGTTGTGTACATAAAAAGGTATGCACATTAAAGCAAGCTGTAAACTTTGCAAAGTTTTTTAGTCGTGGAAACTCGCTAATGCTGACATCAATCGTGCTTGTTTTGACACAGAAATTAGGAGAAGCGCAACTCTCGATCATGCACAAATTCAATAATACGGATACCAACAAAAGCAAAAACTCTGGGCCACATTAAGAATAAATGTAAGCTCTAGGGTTCCAAGTCACCAAACCTTATACGATAACTTTCGTTAGTACTCTATTTCTCTCAAGGTTGTACTTGAAGCTTCCGCAGAAGCTTTGCGTTCTCAAAGCCTAGCTGCTTCTTTGCCCTTTCGCCAATGAGGCTTTGAGATGAACTTGTGTGCGAAATTCTCAAAGTTCCTGTTTTCGTCGGACGAGTCTTCTTTATCCTAATCCGAAATTTAGGCTTCCAAAAATGATTGTGTTACCTTAAACCATGTAAACAGAAAGAAATCAATCTTTAAAGAGACTTTGTGAATATGGACGAAAATGCTTTAAGTAACGTTTAATAAAAGAGCACCAGTGTTTTATCGGGTTTAAAATCACAAGCCGATGGCGAGCGATTTTAGACCCGAGAAAACACGTGCTGCGAGTTTATTAAACATTACTTAAATACTTACTACAAAGTCAACAAGTGCAGTGAAAAAGTAGTCTTTGGAAAATTTTTATGGAATGGCCGAATGGTAGCTAGGTAAATAAAAATCCAGTTCTCGAGCCTTGCTTATTCACAACTGGCAAGTCTTAAATGCGACGCTTGGACACTACTATATTATTACCGCTGAGTCACTGACCTTTTGACTGTTAAAATTGGTGAAAGAACAAAGTTTGATTTTGTGCAATAGTAAATTTACCTCGTGTGTTATTTTGAAAGAACATGAAATATTCACCCACCATTTGTTGTGTCAGTTGCTGTGCTAATAATTAATATTCATAAGTATAAGTCACATGCAGTGACTTTATATCTGATACAACAGCGCATACTAATAAGGGAAGGTTTTATCGATACCAAGTCACTGCACGTGATGTATGATCGACTATTTGATAGGTCAATGGGCTTATGAATTATTAATTAGTTTTTGAAGGATCTGTCACGGAGTTTTTGTGTTACGTTTCGTCACACCTGACAGTTTTGGTCTTACATGTACGCGATCACGTTTGGAGCACGTGATCATGTGACATTTTTTCGATTGAGAATAGATTTTTAATGACAGAGTACCTTTGAGAGAATTGTAATTTTTGTCGAAGACTAGTGTTCGGTTTTGAAGTCCGAATGTTTTGGCAAGTGTATCGGTTTTGAAGCCCGTTACTGTTGGAGTCCTATTGGTTTCGATTAAAATCTATCACAGGTTCACGCAACGCCCTCTGGGTTAGTGTGTTAATAAGTGATAGTGTTCATTTTTCGACAAAGAAAACTACCCATTTTATGAATTAGTGCGTGCCTTGAGGCAGTCCAGTTAGTAAAAGCTAGAGGGGATTGGGTCAATTGCTGGATGAGTTTTCTTACTTCCACATACAGCTGTGTATAATCCCCTGAAGAGAGTTTGTATTTCTATTGAGTTTTCATAACGGAAGGATGTAGTCTGAGACAGGAAAGACATAGTTGGACTCGGTGGAACTATTAACAAGGGGGAATGTCTCATTAAGGTGTTAATTGATTAACGTCTTGCTAGTAGAGGACACAGACCAAAGAAACTTATAAAATCATAAAATTTAGTTAAACAAACATCTGTTCGTAAATTCTTCATATTTGCAGCATTGCGAGTTTTCACCGATGCTGAGCTTTTTAAGACCATGAATTTGGGGCCTGCAGCCTAGATTACAGGTTCTTTTCTGTAAAACTGATGGCAACGTGTTTGAAAGAATAAATTAATAACGGAAAATAAATAACAGTTGTTTGTCTTGTTCAGCAGACGCGTTGAACTCGTATTAGAATTGACGTGACATGGAAGACAGAGGCTTACCTCAGTACCTCACAACCTTACCCCCATACGCGGGCTCGTTACCCGTAGAAAGAAAATAGATATAAAAATTTGATAACTAACCTGTTTGGTTACAACAGTTGAAAAAGTTTTCGCTCTATGGAAAACGGAACGCATATCAAACATTAAATACCTTAGGTGATCTAGGGAGCTACCTCCATGATGTCGATCTTTTGGCAATCATTAAAGGATGAAGAAATGAAGTTTCTGATTGGTCAACAAGGGAAACATTAACAGCTCATAGAGTGCCAGAGGCTTTACAATATAGTACCAGGGAGTACCGAAGCTTCTTTGGAAAAGCGAGGAAGTGTGAAATAGAAACGCATGCAAAATGGCTGACAACCGGATGAGGGGAAATTATTGTTAACCGTCAATGAAATTGCTAGTGCAATAATTTTAACTATTGAAACATCACTCGTGCCATAAATAAAGAAATGTACTCGAATTCATACGATTTTCTATACTTACTACATTTATGGTTAAAATGTTAGTACATTTATGGTTTATAATTTATTACATTTAGGGTTCGGGTTTTCAGTACATTTATGGTGGATATTACATTTATGGTTGACTTTTATTACATTTATGGTTAGTGTTACTGTTATGGTTGATTATTGCATTTACGGGTGATACAGCAAGCCAGCTGGGAGCTGGTGATTAAACTGGTTCGCAATATACCCCGGCGGTGTATATGAAATAATGAATATTTAGCAATTATTGAATGAGACTGAGTAGGATGTGAAGAATAATGCAGATTGAGGAGGATATTATCGGCCGAGGTGGATAACATCCCAAGATCTGCGTAATTCTTTTCATCTTATGAAAGCCGAATTCAATAATTGTTTTATTATTCATTCAAAATATTTCTAAATTTGTTATAAACAAGCTTACCTTCTCGAAGACTTTCTTCAAAACTTTCGCCTATTTCTCGGCATTGTTTCACGATAGACCATATGTTTTTCCTTGAAGATACGCCTCAGAAGTAAATATCATCCGATCCCTGCAGGGATATGTTTCGCGTATTCTTTCATTTCTTAACTTAACAATAACAATATTGTCGTTCTTGTTAACAATAACAATATTTGATCTTCGTGACAAATTATTACCAAAGTAACGTAATTGCACTATGATGTACGTAATTTTGGTTCTTAAAATAGCCTTTGCAATACTATATGAACTTATGGTCATGCAAATAAAGCTCGTTGTTGTTGTAAAAGCTTGTGGCTGAAATAGGTTTATTTTCCAGAATTTTTATCAGTAGGGTGCACGGTGGTAAACAATACGTTACAAACTACTCTGTAAAATTATTTATTTAGATATTCTGCATTTGCAGATTCAAGAAGTATAGAATAGGCCAAAGAAATGATAGTCCAACACTTATAATCCTGACCTACCTCAGTAAATCTTACATGACAGCTTGTTTATCTTGCCTAAGAAGTTTAACTGTTCAGTTAAAAAGACGTTAACAATCTTGTTTCCACTTTCTTACGCTTAAAATATTTTTTTCTCAAGGTTCAGAAAAAAGCGTCATGGACAACATCTCGGAGATTCTACAGACCATTCATATTGGTGCAGTTCTTGCAACTTTTCTTTTCAACACTGGACGTATTATAAGAGCAGTAGACATCTTTAACGAATGTTTGGTGCTCCTTAACGGTAAAGCCCTAGAGACAATCAAAGAACTTATCACACCACTTCTTATCTATGTATACTGTAAACTTCTTGGTGGCTACACTCGTGTGTACGATCACACCCGTGCGATAGAATGTTGTAAAAAACTTCTAGTGACACTACACAATAGTGGCCAAAAAGAAGAAGAAGGGATGATATTACTTAAACTAGCGAACATCTACTATCAAACAAGCAAATACGAGGAAGCAAAACAGTTTTACGAGAAGGCACTCAGCATCATGATTGAGGCTGGAAATAATCGCGGAGTTGGAACATGTTACGGAAATCTAGGAACCGTGTTTTTTTCTGTTGGTCAATATACCAAGGCAGAAGAATACCTTCAAAAAGCACTAGTGATCAGGAAAGAAATCGGTGACAAAGAAGGAGAAGCAGCAGATTACGGAAATCTAGGAACTGTGTTTAGATCTGTTGGTCAATATACCAAGGCTGAAGAATACCTTCAAAAAGCACTAGTGATCAGGAAAGAAATCGGTGACAAACAAGGAGAAGCAGCAAATTACGGAAATCTAGGAAAAGTGTTTCAATCTGTTGGTCAATATACCAAGGCTGAAGAATACCTTCAAAACGCACTAGTGATCAGGAAAGAAATCGGTGACAAACAAGGAGAAGCAGCCGATTACGGAAATCTAGGAACTGTGTTTAGATCTGTTGGTCAATATACCAAGGCTGAAGAATACCTTCAAAAAGCACTAGTGATCAAAAAAGAAATCGGTGACAAAAAAGGAGAAGCATCGGCTTACGGAAATCTAGGAACTGTGTTTAAATCTGTTGGTCAATATGCCAAGGCTGAAGAATACCTTCAAAAAGCACAAGTGATCATGAGAGAAATCGGTGACAAACAAGGAGAAGCATCTGCTTACGGAAATCTAGGAACTGTGTTTCAATCTGTTGGTCAATATACCAAGGCAGAAGAAATCCTTCAAAAAGCACTAGTGATCAGGAAAGAAATCGGTGACAAAGAAGGAGAAGCAGCCGATTACGGAAATCTAGGAACTGTGTTTAAATACGTTGGTCAATATACCAAGGCTGAAGAATACCTTCAAAAAGCACTAGTGATCAGGAAAGAAATAGGTGACAAACGAGGAGAAGCAACCGATTACGGAAATCTAGGAATTTTGTTTCAATCTGTTGGTCAATATACCAAGGCTGAAGAATACCTTCAAAAAGCATTAGTGATCAAAAAAGAAATCGGTGACAAAGAAGGAGAAGCATCTGCTTACGGAAATCTAGGAACTGTGTTTAGATCTGTTGGTCAATATACCAAGGCTGAAGAATACCTTCAAAAAGCACTAGTGATCAGAAAAGATATCGGTGACAAAGAAGGAGAAGCATCCGCTTACGGAAATCTAGGCACTGTGTTTTTTTCTGTTGGTCAATATACCAAGGCTAAAGAATACCTTCAAAAAGCACTAGTGATCAGGAAAGAAATCGGTGACAAAGAAGGAGAAGCAGCAGATTACGGAAATCTAGGAACTGTGTTTAAATACGTTGGTCAATATACCAAGGCTGAAGAATACCTTCAAAAAGCACTAGTGATCAGGAAAGAAATCGGTGACAAACAAGGAGAAGCAGCAAATTACGGAAATCTAGGAAAAGTGTTTCAATCTGTTGGTCAATATACCAAGGCTGAAGAATACCTTCAAAAAGCACTAGTGATCAGGAAAGAAATCGGTGACAAAGGAGGAGAAGCAACAGATTACGGAAATCTAGGAACTGTGTTTCAATCTGTTGGTCAATATACCAAGGCTGAAGAATACCTTCAAAAAGCACTAGTGATCAGGAAAGAAATCGGTGACAAACAAGGAGAAGCAACCGATTACGGAAATCTAGGAACTGTGTTTCAATCTGTTGGTCAATATACCAAGGCTGAAGAATACCTTCAAAAAGCACTAGTGATCAAAAAAGAAATCGGTGACAAAGAAGGAGAAGCATCTGCTTACGGAAATCTAGGAACTGTGTTTCAATCTGTTGGTCAATATACCAAGGCAGAAGAATTCCTTCAAAAAGCACTAGTGATCAGGAAAGAAATCGGTGACAAAAAAGGAGAAGCAGCCGATTACGGAAATCTAGGAACTGTGTTTAAATCTGTTGGTCAATATACCAAGGCTGAAGAATACCTTCAAAAAGCACTAGTGATCAGGAAAGAAATCGGTGACAAACAAGGAGAAGCAACCGATTACGGAAATCTAGGAATTTTGTTTCAATCTGTTGGTCAATATACCAAGGCTGAAGAATACCTTCAAAAAGCATTAGTGATCAAAAAAGAAATCGGTGACAAAGAAGGAGAAGCATCTGCTTACGGAAATCTAGGAACTGTGTTTGAGTCTGTTGGTCAATATACCAAGGCTGAAGAATACCTTCAAAAAGCACTACTGATCAGGAAAGAAATCGGTGACAAACAAGGAGAAGCAACCGATTACGGAAATCTCGGAACTGTGTTTAAATATGTTGGTCAATATACCAAGGCTGAAGAATACCTTCAAAAAGCACTAGTGATCAGGAAAGAAATCGGTGACAAAGATGGAGAAGCATCTGATTACGGAAATCTAGGAACTGTGTTTCAATCTGTTGGTCAGTATACCAAGGCTGAAGAATACCTTCAAAAAGCACTAGTGATCAGAAAAGAAATCGGTGACAAAGAAGGAGAAGCAACCGATTACGGAAATCTAGGAACTGTGTTTCAATCTCTTGGTCAATATACCAAGGCTGAAGAATACCTTCAAAAAGCACTAGTGATCAGGAAAGAAATCGGTGACAAAGAAGGAGAAGCAACCGATTACGGAAATCTAGGAACTGTGTTTCTTTCTGTTGGACAATATACCAAGGCTGAAGAATACCTTCAAAAAGCGCTTGTGATCAAACAAGAAATCGGAGACAAAGCTGGTATTGGAGCTTCATACTTAAATCTGGCAAAACTTTGTCCAGGATTTCAACTTACTGCAAAGAGTCAAGAATTTGCCAATAAAGCACTTGAGATAAGTTACGAAATAGGGGACAATGAACTGCAGTTTAACTGCCACCTTACCATTGCTCTGAACGAGTTAGTAGCAGGAGGAAGCATAACTGAACTTTTGCGACATCTGCATGAAAGCATTCGGAAGTGCGAAGAAATGCATGATTTTTTAAGAGGAAAGGATCAATTCCAAATTTCTTTTTTTGATGAGCATGTGTCCCCTTACCTTCTTCTTTGTAGCTTGTTGATTGCTAGAGGCAGGTATTATGAAGCTCTTTACGTTGCTGAGCTTGGACGATCCAGAGCGCTGACAGACGTACTTTCAGAAAAGTACTCTGTGGAAAAAGGGGTATCAGGCAACCCACAATCATGGATTGGTATTGAGAACATCATGAACGAAAATGCACTGAGTTCTTGTCTTTATGTTTCCTGCTTCGGTGGTAATATGTACTTTTGGATCCTCAAGCCAAAAAAAATGATAGTTTTTCGACAAAAGAGACTCAAAGAAAGTGCAGATAAAGTGTTTAGAAATGACACATTTGGTGGCTCTCTTGATTTACGTCAAGACCAATGCGAAGATCGATCATTATTTTCATGTGTAAGTTCCCCGCTATCATGCAAACAATCTCAGAGTGACAGCTTCGAATCTTTGCGTCTTATCGAAGAAGAGGAAGACGAAAATCACGACTCTAAACCTTTAACCCTTGCTGATGGTTACAACATGATAGTCGCTCCTGTAGCTGACTTACTCCAAGAATCAGAAATCATTATTATACCGGATAACTTGTTGTATCCTATTCCTTTTGCTGCTTTAAAGGATGGTAATGGAAAGTATTTATCGGATACTTTCAGGATTCGCATTGTCCCTTCCTTGACGACTCTTAAGTTGATTCAGCTGAGTCCAGCAGACTACCATAGTAAAACTGGTGCACTGATCGTAGGGGAGCCAGACGTTAGTGATGTATACTACCAAGGAGAAAGTCGACAGTTACCGCCACTGCCTGGGGCGAGAAAGGAAGCAGAGATGATCGGGCGACTGCTCGGTGTTCAACCGTTGCTTGGAAAGGATGCAACTAAGCAGGCAGTCCTGGAGAGGATGCATTCAGTAAGTCTCATTCACTTCGCTGCTCATGGTTATGCCGAACGTGGAGAAATAGCTCTTTCCCCTATAAGCTCCTGCGGAACTCCACACGAAGAAGACTACTTATTAACGATGGCTGAAATTTCACAAGTTCAACTAAGAGCCAAGCTGGTTGTCCTTAGCTGCTGTCATAGTGCAAGTGGTCAGATTAGAGCTGAGGGAATTGTTGGAATCGCTCGAGCATTTCTAGCATCGGGTGCACGCGCCGTGCTGGCGGCGCTGTGGGCTGTAGATGACAAAGCTACCATGTGGTTTATGAGTCATTTCTACGAGCACCTTGTTCGTGGTGAAAGTGCCAGTGAATCTCTTCATCAGGCCATGAAGTCGATGAGAGAGACCCGTTTTTCTGACATCATGCAGTGGGCACCCTTTATGCTGATTGGAGATAATGTGACATTCAAAGGTTTGTATTTGATATCATTTTTAAGTTTTTTAGTTATCTTAGTCAAAATTTGTGAAATTGATGTTCGTGACACTACGCATCATTTTGGAAAATATTATGAAGGGAGTTATACTGAGTTTTCTTAGTTTTTTTGTTTATTGTCTTTTTCAACCCTGTTCATGGAAGTGAGGCAACTGGAGAGAAGGCCGAATTTAATTATTTTCCGATTTTTATGGAATATTTCGTAAAGCATGCCAGAATCTCTAACTAACTAAAATGAAAATGTAGAAAACGATAGTTGAGTCTTGTTAATATATTTAGTTATTAATGTACTGTAAAATTCCGAAAATATACCCTGGGGCTTATATTTTTCAAAGGCCCTTTTGAGGGGCTTAGTTCTCTGTGTCGGAACAATAGGTATGCGGTGCAAATATTATACGAATCACATTTAAGCTGAAAGTGATACAATATGACTTTACTGAATTTTTAGCATATAAATGATCCCTCAAAATGTAAAGGTTTTGTTATTTGTTTGACTTTGAAGAAATCTGTCCCAGATATTTAGGTAAAGCATTTAGCGCAAGGAGCAACAGAAGCATGTTGATCGATGGCTAAAATAAATCGTGCAAAGAATACATACGAAAGGGAACCGTCATGATTAGTTTTTTATTTGTATTGTAGGTGCATTTGATAAGAGCAGTTTGAAAGATGGCGAAGGTGCAACGGAAACAAAGAACTTGTAAACTGAGAGGAAACATGTTAAAGTTGACAACCACTGTCACAGCTGTACATAAATGTATATAGCTAGGATCTCGATGAAGTAGTCTTGTCTGAGACGGCAAAGTGAACAGGTGATAATTGTACTTTTTAAAGCAGTCACCATTTTGATACGTTACGGGGGAAGGTGAAGCATGAGCTGAGCGTGGAGCACAAGGAGAGGGGATAGCCAGGACCAGTTAGTCGTCCTTATAGTGGAGACGTCAAAGTTGTATAGACCTTCTGAACCTACGTCACTATATTAGTCAGGGCTTCTTTCGTTCTGCGTGACTTCTGCCACTCTCGTCAAGGCCTTCCCTTCAATTCACGCTTGCTTCAAATAAGCTCAATCATTTACATGTGTTACATCAACACAAGTATTACTTTGGTTTGATAAACTTTGTAAATGTGCTGATCTTGACAAACGTGATGAAATGCCAAATAGATAGTTAAGTTATAATATGATTTTACTCAGTTAGTTCTGTCACACCATCAATGGTCAAAGGCCTTGGATGAGGGTAAACAGGTGGACGTTGTTTTCCTGAACTTTGCAAAGGCTTTTGACAGTGTGGCACATAATATCCTGCTGCAAAAATGTGTAATTTTGGTATCTCTGGTGCGCTTTGAATTAGTGTAAGGATTATCTCGCCGACCGAGAACAGAGAGTTGTCATAGAAGGAATAAATTCTACATGGTGTGCTATTCCATCGGGCGTACCTTGGGCCCTTTATTCTTTGTAATTTTCATTGGTGATTTGCCTGAAGTAGAAATGCCTGGACACTGTGTGTCATTATATGCTGACGACTGCAAAACATCCAGGATTATAAACTATCCAGCTGATCATTCCGTATTTCAGTCAGGGCCCAGTTGTTCGAACGCCGGTTATTGCTAACCCGGGGTTAAATTTTAGCCCAGGTTTCTTTTTCTTTTTATCAAAAGCACACTATCGGATAATTTTCCCTATTCTTTTTAGAGTATCCAGTCATCAAATTGTAGGCAAAGAGAATTAAACTGAATTTGCTTTTTAAGCTCTCATATCCGAGTTCAAATTTCGCACTAACCGTGGGTTACCTTAACCCAGCTTTGAACAACGCGGCCCAGATGTCGACAATTGATATGCATGGAGTCAACAAAACCTCAGGAGTTTAACGTGAACGGAAATGTAAACTAATGCAATCTGCAATCTGCAATCTGTCTTGGAGTACTCATATCGATAAAATATCGAATAAGGCCAACAAGATCCTAGGTCTAAGGGACCTGTAAAGGATTTCAAGATGTTTCCACATTGAGAACTCTGTATCTTGCCCTGGTCAGATCACAGCTAGAGTATTATTATTACTATAGTAATTTTGTTTTGAATACCATGATGATTTCGAACAACGGAGAAAAAAGCTCAATTTGTTGTCCTTAGAACAAAGACGATTTTTATTTGACGTATTATTCCTGTATAAAGCCCTGAATGGCTATATAAATATTGATCTGTCTACATATGTACAGTTTTTCTCGGATTCTGATTGGTATCCTTTAGGGGGAAAAGATGAATGTACTCTCAAAAAGAATTATGCTAGAACTAATACATTTAAGTTTAGTTTTTTCGATAGGATCGTGGACATGTGGAACACTCTACCATTGCTTGTTCGTCAGGCAACAACTATTGCTAGTTTTAAGAAAGGACTGAGGGAGTTTTAAGCTGGAAATGTGTGATGTTATTATTATTATTATTTTATTGATTTTTTTGTACATATCTCTATATGGATTTTCACATTTTTAATTGTCTGTCCTATTAAATCTTAGTTTTTATGATATGAATATTTTTTAGAAGGTGGTCTGTCTTGTATGGGGTCTTTGACTCTTTTACAGACCGTCCTTATGGCAATGCCTTTGTATTTATCACTTACGTGAAACCTTTTGCCATTAAATTGTAATAAATAACAAAAGTGTTCTCTGGAATTAAGTGCTCTTTCCCAGGGGCACCCATCGACGGTTTCCTCCTAAATACATTGAAAATACTTTTTAGGCTATCCAGAGTGTTTTTTAAATAGATCTCTAGAAATACATTCTATATCTATTCGGTCATCCTAGGGGGGCTTGAGTCTTTTCAACATCATAAGGGCTTCTGTATTATTGTCCCCAAAATTTTAGATGCAATTTAACGTATTACGAAAGTGAAAATTTTTCTGATTCCTCTCTGCATCACATTTTTGAATTCGAAAATAATTTTAGGTTTTCTTTTTTTTGGGAAAAATAGCCTAACCTAGGGAGTGAAATGTGAAAAATTAAACTTACTTTAGAAAATCGTAGGGAATTACCGAAAATTGTACACGAATGGAACGGTCATCTAGAAATTTTTAGCTGTCCTCAAATAAAAGAAAATTCTAGGCAATGTTTGCTTCTCCGAACAGATATTTTACAGAAAACCGTCGCTGGGTGCCCCTTCTTTCCGTCAATACGATAATTACGGTATTGTTTGTAAGCTTTTTTTATTTGCCTAAGATCAATCACCACCACAATGTTTCACTGATTACTAATAATAAAGTCTAATAAAGTCTTTATTCATCAAGATACTGTTTTAGAGTAGTGACAGTGTTTAGCGGAAAGTTCTAAAACAATTCAGCATGATGGCGAGTCTTAGAGGACACAAACAAAGAAAATGAATAAACATGTTTGTGTCCTCTAAGACTCGCTATCGTGCTGAATCTTAATATATCGAAGGATCCCTCATTAGTGACTGATAAAGCTTAACAACGCAGTCGATGTACGAAATTGTATTTTCCCGTTTTGAATGGGGCGTTTTCCAATCCTCTGCCCTGCCCTGTCTTACGTTCTACGGGTGACCCTTTTTTTTTCAAACGTAACTAAAAAACTGACAGCAATGAATGGGCATGGGTGCTCACCAGAATTTAGAAGTTGGGCTTTATTCCGAGTTGGTCCTCTTACAGCATTATGAACCCGGTTTATGAAAAGGACTTGAGATCTTTTAGAATGTCGGCAAATTCTAAACTCTCTCCAGGTATGTCACTCTGGTTTTGTTAGAAATGAGCCTGCCTATCAATCGTTTCAGCGTCTTTGTGTAATTTGTTAGCTCATTTCCATTAGATTTACGTAGGTTAGCTGTTTTCTGAGCTAAAGCGCTCATCAAATAACTTTATTTAACAGAAGATGCTACTTTGTGAACAGAGTTAGGGTTCAAACCCAAAGCTTTATTTCAATAGTATACAAAAGTCTATTAAAAGACGTTTTAGACTGAAACCCTCTTCAAATTGTAATGAGAGACTCTTCTTGCCATGCTCGGTCATACAACTATGTTCTTAAGGATGCCAATTGTCAGGAGCCCATCCTATTACATACAGGTTCAGTGATAGGTGTGAATGATAATTATATATCAAAAGCAGCAAAAGTCTGCCACGATTTTGAATACACACATCGGTCTAGTTGTATGGCATATCGCTCCCCGAGTTTCTCATAGATGTCCTGGAAGATCATAGGTGCAAATCCCGTTGGAATCCTCAGAACTGCTTGTGTGTTTCTTAGTTTTTCAATATTATAGCATCACTTGAAATAAATCATGTGGTTGAGAAGTTACTTCTACCTTTTAGCAGGAAGTAAAATTTTCATTCCGTATTTATTGGACTGATGTCTTTATATACACTCTTCAGTTTTACACAAAGGATTTTTCACTTACTGTTGGTAAGAAGGTTCGATTATTTGAAAAGTCCTCAGTAAGGATAGAGAACCTGGGAACGAGGCCCGGGGGGGGGGGGGAACTCCTCATATGAAGGTGGTACGGATGCTCGTCGTCTCGCTTAGGGGTGTAAATTTCGGATTTTGGTCTCACTTAGAGTGTTCTGGGCAAAACGCCATCAAAATTTAGCCGTGAAGGTCTCGTTTAGGGTTGCACGCGAAAAAATATGACGATGATTTATGATGATGCTTTTAAAAACTACTTATGGGTAAAAGTGTTTGATGATAATGTCTTTGCCATTATTTAAAGTCGTCTTTTTTTCATGTGTCTGTGTTTTAACATGGTCTCTTTTAGGGGTCAAAAAAAGCTGGGGCCACGCCCAGATTGGTCTCTTTTAGGGGTTAAATTCAAAATTTCCGACGAGCATCCGTACCACCTTCATATGCGGATTCCCCTTTCCCCCCCTCCCCCCCCCCCCAGGGAACGAGGTTGCTTTCTGGTTCGTCAATAGGCTGGTTTCATTACTTATTTGTTTGGAATAAAATTTACTTTTTTCTCACCCATAAACCTTGATATTTCATGAAAAAGTCTATCGCGTTTGATCGCGTTTTCGATCGAGTACCCGAGAAACGCGAAACGAGTGGCCTGGAAGCTCGCGCGCGAAACTCGCGCCCTAATTGAGACTGGGCACTAAAAGAAATAAATATGGCGACGGAGCACGCAGAACATGTGTGTAGTTAAATTGGACCTAAAGTGACATTATTGGACTCCAGGTACTCGTATATCACCTCGATGAGATCTTTAACTTGTTCGTCAACACTTAGCTTTATTTTTGGCGTAGAAATTCACGGACGTGGCTTGGCAGAAGGTCCCGCACTGGTCTTGTGAGGTATGCTCGAGCTTAACTTATAAAGTTTAAGGCTTTAACACAGAAAATGTTGATCTCATGAGCATGAAATATTTAGATAATGTTAGTGAAAGGATTAAGATAATGTTTTAAATCTGATCACTATCAGGTAATTTTAATGTAGCCCTTCTCCGGACATTTTACCATCCCCATCTACAGTGAAACCTGTAATTTGTGGATTAACCCACGTGACCTTAGTTGGTGTTCCCTTGTATTCAAAAAGTGTATTCCATCGGCTTGTGAATCTGTTTACCTTGAGTTTTCTGTGCCTCATTGTGAGGCCATGAGATTGTCCTCAAAACCGTGAGACTTGAGAGGTCTGCTCTTGGATGGGGGGAGGGTTGTCCAATGCTCTGACAAATTTATGCATGGCATTGTATTGTGAGGAAAATTCTGTA